GGCATGCTTTAGTGAAACATTTCACTCTTAGGATAGGAACCCGTGCCGTATCAAGCAGATGAAAGGACATGCTGGCTGTACTTTCAGGAGGACAGGCTAACTTGGATTCTGGGTTAGCCTATAGAAAAATGATCTGCCATAAATCAAACAGTGAGGGGCAAGGTTAGTAGTAAACTCTTTACACAACTTACATAAAATATAGCTCTTTGAACAAATGAAAGTAAGATTTCTTCTGGATCCCAGAATCTAAACAATATTTATATGTATAATTCAGCTATTATTTGGTTTAAATGGGCTAATTTGGAAATGTTATTGTTTTTACTATTTTCTACAGAGAAAATATTTTCCAGTTTATCATAACTCTGGACTTTTGAATTACAATCCGTCTTTATGCCCAAGCTGTCTGTATAGCTGCTTCTCTGCAGCTGTACATAAAATGTTTTTACATTAAAATGGGTTACTATATAAAGTACTGCATTGGGCCATAATAAAGTGTTTAATGCTTTATACTTTTAAAAAGAAACATGGTGGGGAAGGTGGTCAGTTCCTGAAGAATTACACTTGTGGTTTTCTGGCCTTAACACCTGTGCATACAGCTACACTCACATGTGCACTTGCACACACAGATGCAAACCTATACATACACACAGAGGAAAAAGTCTTCAAATGCAAAGAATTCGTGAACTAACATTAAGACTTCTGTTCTTCATACTAAAGATGTTTTAGAAAGTGAAATAATTATGAAAATTGTCATATTAGGCATAATAGCAAATACAATAAATTCCCACCAAAAAAAGCATAAACTGAAATGGCCACATTCTTTGCATACAAGACATAAAGCCAGAAACTAAGCCATTGGAAAACACCAATGTTTCTATGAAAACATTAGTGCTAAAAAGAAATCCAAAGCCAATATCAGTTGCTTCAGAAGACAAAGACATCTGGGCTGGAGAGATGGCTTCACATTTAAAAGTATTTGCTGCTCTTTCAGTAGACCAAGGTTTAGTTCTTAGCACCTACGTGAGGTGGCTCAAGGCAACTGTAGCTTCATCTCCAGAGTATCTGATGCCTTATTCTCACCTCCAAAGACAATACCTTCAAGCACATGGTGTACATACAGTCAAACTGGCACATACACATAATAAAAAAAATTAATTCACTGTTTTCTAAAAAACTAAGGTCTATGTTAGGGTTGGTGGCACATGCCTGTGATCACTCCAGTCAGGAGGCCGAGGTAGGAGGAGCAGTTCCAGTTCCAGATCATTCTCAGCTACATTAAAAAGCTCAAGGCCCGCCCAAGCTGCATTAGTTCCTGACTCAAAACAAAAAATTTTAAAAAAAGTAACAAAAATAACATGAAAGTACATTATAAAACATATTATTTCAAATGTTTTTATTTCACTATAAAAACAATTTAACTTCAATAAATTCAAATTTATTTTAAAGAAATTAAATAACAAATGTTGATATGTATAAAATGATAAAGAAATAAATTCAAACCCAGGAAATAGTGTTGATATATAGATTCAGTTTTCAATAAACAATAGGAATATATATATATATATATGTATGTTTATATATATCAAGGATATATATATCCTCCTTGGCTTACTCAAGAGAGAAAAATAAACAGCATGAGAATAAAAAGTCAATCAATACAGAAAATGTTGAGACACTGAAGAAAATAACATGAGCTCCTGTAAATGTTTGAAATATTTGCTAGATTAGTTTCATGACAGAATAACATTTCTAGAGCACAAAAGTCAGCATCAATGTTTAATGGTGAAATACAAGAAGCATTCCTGTTATAATCGTAAAAAAATATGAAAATATAATTCTCCCTTACTATCTAACAGTAATGAAGATACTAGCAAATAAAATTGGGTAATAAATAGAAATGTGGTAAAATTACTGAAAACAAAGACACTAACTTATTTATGAATGATACAACTAGAAGAAGAAACAAGATTTCAGAAAAATTAATGTGAGAGCTCACTTGATAGGCAGATAAAATGCATAGTCTTTATATCTAATAAAATAGAACAGCATTCCTACATATCACAGGCAAGGGGTTGCAATAGATGACAAGAAACAGTTTTGCTCATAACAGAAGAAATGCACTTTTAAATTCTGTGAATTATGATAAAAACAGCTATCAGAGACGACACCGATTGAGTTTCAAAAGAAACAAAGAATGGCCAGAGAAACGAAATTTGGGAGGTTTTGTTTCAGTGATAGCATTTCTCTCAAATCGGAAGTATTGAGCAGTCATACAAACCAACAAGTGAAACTCTTTTAAAAAATCAAATGTTAGGTATACCTAGGAGATACTGTGGTTTGGGTGGGGGCTCTAGGATATGGGACCACTGTGAAAAGTAATTAGGCCATCAAGGTTACGCCCTCCGCGGGAATCGACGCAGTTCCCCTCTGCCTTCCTGCACTGTTATATGTGTTCTTCCTCTTGTATATCCTGTATCACTATGATGTCATCTATCGTGAAGTCATGTGACCCAGGAGCCCACACCAGAGCTGAGCCATGCTGTTGGACTGCCAGCATCTGAAACTGTGAGCTAAATAAGCCTCTCTTCTTTACAATTTAACCAGTCTCTGGCATCCAGAAGAGGAGATGGGTGCTGCTGACTCGTCTATCTGCCAGCTGAGCTTATGAATACACCCTGCCACATCAGCCATATTACTAGTAGTTACTCACTGTCCTGTGTTCTGTGATGAGTTATGGTCATGGATACCACCCTCATTCAGTTTATCTAACTGTGGGCAACCCAAAATTAAAGAAATTTATTTAACCTGATCTCCATCAGTAAATTAGTCAGGATAATTGGAACAAGTATCCAGATAAACCCGTTCATTTGTCTCCACACGCAAAAGTAATCTACCACACTGGCATGCAGATAACTGCCTTAATTCTTCAATACACAGTACTAGTGTGAATTGGGGTAAAAATAAAAACTACAGTATAGGATTGTCATTTGTAGTCAATTACACCGGGAGAGTCCATGGAAAGTTCTGAAGCCTTTTTCTACTTACCAGGTACTGTTTCCACATGAATATCAAAACCAGCCAGGGTAGATTGTGATTTTATTCATTCAGCCCACCAGCCAGGACTGGCTTTGCAAATGTACATATGGATACGTCAAGCCTCTTCTGTCTTAGCCCTGTAGACATGTATAGAGTAAGATTTTGCGAAGCTAAAAAAATCATCAGCTTTTATTAAGTGTTGAGATTTTTCAGCCTCTCAGGTATTAGCAGTAGGATTTGTATAGATATAAAGTAATAGAATTAGAATATTTCTTTATGTCATCAGAAAAGTTTATATATATATATATATATATATATATGTATATATATCACTTTCAAGATAGTCTGTTCAGTTTTATTCTTTTGCTTCTTCTTACTCTCTTAGTGACCTTTTCATGACTTTCTTACTTTCAGCACTTAATAAAGTGATGAAGCATAGGAAAAGGGAGGCCACACTTTAAGGCACAACACTACAAGAGGTGATCTGTAGCTAGAGTTTTCCGCCTTGCCCACAGTCAGGACAAATCTTTATCACCCGCC